GGAGGGGAGGGACGAGGGGGAGGAGGAGAAGGAGGAGGAGGAGGAGGAGGAGGAGGAGGAGTAGGGAGAAGAAGAAACGGCGGAGGGAGGAGGCGAGAGTCAGGGGGGAGGGAGGAAGGGGGGAAGGCAAGAGGCAGGGGGGAGGGAGGGAGGAGGAGGTGGAGCGTCGCCAGCGGTGTGTGCGTGCGCAGGCGCTTATGAGGGCTCTGGAGACGCTTAACCACCTGGGGTGCCTGGATGATAGAGGCATCGCCTGCAAATTGCGCAGGGGAGAGACGTTGAGGAGGATGGACGACGACGACGGCGGCGGCGACGACGACGGTGACGGCGATGACGAGCGCGATGACCAGTGAAGAGGTAAGGGAAGCGAAGGAGGAGCCTGGCATCGCTTGGACGTGTGCATTTTTTCCTGGCGACGACTATCGAGGAACATATTGGATGATCTTGCGAGAAGGACACGCGCGACGCCGAAACATGCACGGGGAATGGACGTCCGAGCGATGGCGAGTGGGGGGGGGCGGACTCAGCGTCACTGCGTTACCAAGGATTGTGTCACAGCCCTGGGCGCGCGGACGCGGCGTATTTTACAGGCGATCGTGGCCCAAGGACCACGGATCCAGCGTACTACACACAAGAGGGGTTGTGGCGCTGGGAGCGCAGATCCAGCGTAATGTACGAAGGGTCGAGGCGCTGGAAGTTCGGATCCATTACAGGGGATCGTGGCGCTGGGAACGCGGACTTGGTGAACTGTACGAGGTATCGTCGCCTTGGGAGCGCGGATCCCGCGGAGAAGGCATACAGATCAGGACGGCTCGTCCCCTGGCACGTTCCGTGGCGCGTCCCCTGGCGCGTCCTTTGGCACGTCCCTCGGCTTGCGTGTCTCCTGGCGCGTATGCGGCGCGTCCCCTGGCTTGACCCCTGGCACGTCCCTTGGCGCGTCCCTTGGCAAGCCTACGTACCGTGCGAGGAATCGTGGCCCTGAGCGCGGGCGCAGCGTACTTTACGATGGAACTGAGCGCGCGGACGCAGCATAATTTACAAGGGATCGCCGCCCAGGGACCGCGGATGCAGCGAAACATGCTAGGGATTGTGGCGCTGGGGGCGCAGATCCAACGTAAGTTGCACAGGTTCGTGGTGCTGGGAGTTCGAATCCGGGGTAATTCTAGACGCTTCGCGTAACACCACGAGCCCATCCAGAAAAGATGCCCACACGAGTTGCCTTGATCAGGGACGTGGAGGACCATGCAGTGCAATAAAGGTCTGGAAAAGAAGTCACAATTACCCAAGGAGGGGAAGGATAGAGGAGGAATCGGAGGAGGAGTAGGGAGAGGGGGAGGGGGAGGAGGGAGGAGGAAGAGGAGGCAGAAGAAGATGAGGAGGAATAATTTGGCGGATGAGGAAGAGGAGGGGAGGAGGAGGGAAAGCAGAAAGGCCAGAGGTCTCTTGGATGCTTCTCGGAGTCTTTTCGGATGTCTCTTGGCAGCTTGTTGTGGGCCTCTTGTGGCTTCTTGGGTGCCTCGGCCCAACACCGAAGTCAAATCAAGGATATTTGTCTTCTCGCCGAGCCTATCTCGAACCCGCGACCCCACCCTTTGCAGACCCAGGGGGAGGGGGAGGGGGAGGGGTAAACTCCTCCCCGAAGGGGATGAGGGGGTTGGAAGAGGAAACGCCCTAAACCACTCACGCCCGAACGGGCTGGTGGGATTTGGAAGGCATCGTCGGTCCGGGAACGCGGGACCAGTCAAATTTACAAGGGATCGTGGCAATGTGAGCGCGGATCCAGCGGATAAAACCTCAGAGCAGGGCGGGGAGTCCCCTGGCTCATCTCTTGCCACTTCACCTGGCGCGTCCCTTGGCACGTCCCTTGGCTTGCGCGTATCCTGGCGCGTCTGCGGCGCATCCCCTGACATGTTCCGTGGCGCATCCCATAGCGCATCCCTTGGCACTTCCCTTGGCACGTTACCCAGTGCTTCCCGTGGCACGTGCCCTGGTGCTTCCATTGCCACGTCCTTTGGCACGGCCACTGGCGCGCCCCGTGGCAAGTTCCCTGCTTCCTCATGTGGCGCGTTCCCTGGCTCATCCTCTGGCGCTTCCCTTGCCCGTTCCGTGGCGTGTTCCTTGCCACGTCCCCTGGCGCGTCCCTTGGGACGTCTCCTGGCACGACGTCCCCTGGCGCGCCCCCTGGCGCGCCCCCTGGCATGCCCCTTGGCACGTCCCGTAGCAGGCCCCTGACACGTCCTTGGCACGTTCCCTGACGTGTCCCCTGATATGTCCCCTGATGCGTCCCCTGGCGCGTCCCCTGACTCATCCCCTGGTGTGCTGCTGGCAGGCCCCGTGGTGCGTGCTCTGCACCCCCTGTCGGTTCGTCCTGTTTCAGAATCGAATAGGTTTTGAGCTCGAGCTGGTTGAGCGCCCCGCGCGTTTTGACTACAACCAGCTCTGGGCGAGCCATGCCTTCAGACAGCTCGAGCTAAATATCCAGATCAGTTCGGTCATGATATGGACGCCAAGGACAAGTGTATGGACAACGCAGTAGAGGACAGCACAGTTCCACACAGCATGATACAGCACAACTCAGCACGGCGCAGCGCAGCAGCGCACAGCCCCTGGCACGTCATCATCGCAATGAAGATCTTCAGAACTGCATATTGCCCACTCTCGGGCAGCCCTGTATCCCTTTCCGGGTTAGCGGATCCGTCATGTTGCGCGAAGGGTGTCTCTTCGGCAGTGATGCATCATGCATGCGGGGATTCGTGAGGAGGGAATTCTGGACGGGATGGTGTATTGCAGCGTCGTTGTTGATACGTGTTGGTTCTATTACGATTCTCTTCCTCCCATCCTCTTGCCCATGCCCCTCCTCTTTCTCCTCACCTTTCCCCTCCTCCTCCTCCTCCTCCTCCTCCTCTTCTTCCTCCCATCCTTCTCCCCCTCTCTTTTCCTCCGCCCGTCCTCCTCGCCCTGTCCCTTCTCCTTCCCCCTCCTCCTCCCCCTTCGCAATCAGAGCCGCGCGGCCAGAACCGCGCGCGACAGGCGAACTCACGCAGCTGGGCATGCAGTGCGCCGCGCTGCCAGTGGACCCACAGCTCGCCAGGACCCTTCGAGCGAGGAGGCAGAGGCAGGGAGGGAAGAGACAAGGACCCAGGATGCCAGGACGGAAGGGCGCTAGTTTTGCTGTTTTTGTTTCCCGTGTGTTCGCGTTCGTGCTCGTTGCGACCACGGACGTATCCAGTTGTCCCAGCTGTCCCAGTTGTCCCAAGAGGGCGGAGGTGCAGGAGGAGGTGGCGCAGCAAGAGGAGGCCAGATGGAGAATTGAAGAGGGGGGAAGTGTCAGAGGAGGACAAGGTACCAATACCGCCATCCTTGCCTCGTGGTTGCTTTTGTGGGCCTTCTGGGAGGCCTTCGCCGCCACCGCTGGAATTGCCTCAACAATCTGGTCAGAACGCACTTCGGGATATGTCCGGGGAGTTGCGGTATCGGTATCTCTTGGTTTCCCCGGAAGAGGTGGAGGAGCAGGAGGAAGCGGAGGAGGAGGAGGAGGAGGAGGAGGAGGAGGAGGAGGAGGAGGATAGCGTCCTTCTCCCTTCCTGCTCCTGCTCCTTCCCCCCCTCCTCCGCGCCCCTCCCCACCCTCGAGGAAGCACAGCGAGGAGGCGTGGGTTAAGGAGGGGGAGGATGATGAGGCAGAGGCACATCGGGGTTCCTGCCTGCGAGTGGGCAAGTGGCGTGAGACTGCGTGCGCTCGGCAGCCAGACAGCGGATACGTCGTATATCCTGGAGTCCACCCATAAACGAGAGGCAGAGGCAGAGGCAGATGTGGCGACGGAGGAGGAAAAAGGGCGGGCTAGGAGGATGAGGAGGAGGATGAGGCGGTGAAGGAGGAGGAGAAGGAGGAGGAGGAGGGAGAGGGAAAGGGAGAGGGGATGAGGAGGATTGTATGGGATTGGAGCCGTCGTCGATGCGAGGATGTGATTCCCAAACAGGCAGTGGCGGCCCTAAAGTGGTTCGCCAGCTCGGGCCACGTTTCCACTGCTGGTGCAGGGGTCGCAGGGGCAGCGGCCACGAGGGATACAGACGCGCACGTTGGAAAGTGCCGCTCCCCCCCCCATCCCGCCTGGACCGCGTGAGAGCTCGGACCCCGCCGCAAAAGGTTCACTCGAGGGCAGAAGGGACGCCGCGCTGTGTCGGCGGGGAGCATCTCGGGCGTCTGAGAGCGCCCGAGGCCGCCGGGGAAGCGCTCGGCGCTGCCTGGGAGCGCGCGGGCCCTTCCCGGTGCGTTTTGGAGCGCCTCGGGCCGCCTGGGAGCGCTTGGGCGCTCCTCGAGCGTCTGGGGGCGCCGTGGAGCGCTCGGGAGCGTCAGGGGCACGGATCCCGCGGCTTTTACCAAGGATCGCGGCTTCGGGGGCGCCGATCGCATGGTGTTCTCCCGCCCGACTGGTTGGGGTCGTGAGTCTTCAAAAACAGACCTCCCGACCCGCCCACCCTGCGCGCCACGGCCGCCAGATCCCTGGGTCCCCCTAGTGTCCCCGAGAGCCCCGCCCTGCGCCACTTTGCATGCCGCGGCCGCCAGATCCCCAGGCTCCCCCGAGCGCCCCCGAGAGCCCCGCCTCGCGCCACTCTGCGCACCGCGGCCGCCAGATCTCCCGGCCCCCCCGAGTGTCCTCGAGCGCCCCGCCTCGCGCCACTCTGCGCGCCGCGGCCGCCGGGTCCCCCGTGCGTCCCCGAGAGTCCCGCCTCGCGCCACCCAGCGCAGCGCGGCTCCCCGAGATCCCCGGGTCCCCCGAGTGCCCTCGAGCTCCCCGCCTCGCCGACAGATCATACCGCGAGAGAGCGGTGGTGTAACACAGCGGAACCTAGCGCAGCACGGCACTATAAGCTATGACAGAACATATCATAACACCACACCGCCTAACATAACATATCCGAACATAACGTGCCGTATCACGACATAGCATATCGTAACATAACACACCATGGCAGAGCCTTTCATACCACAGCAAAGCA